TACCTGTCTGAATGCATCTCCCTCTATGAACCATAGCGGAGATTAAGATCTTACGGGGAAGCCCTGCTCTCATTCCCACCGCCGTCACAGGCACGATTGGCCGGGACGAGAGAGAGGGCCTTCTCAGTGATTGCCCATAGGCTATGGAACTCTCTTCCTGGCAAGATTAGATCAGCCCCCTCCCTCCTGTCCTTCAGAAAGATGATAAAAAACTTGGCTGTGAGATCAAGTCTTTGGGGCAGTGTAATAAGGCAACAATATGAAACTCTATCCTGCTGACTAGATCTGGTATGGCTGATCTGAGATGGTTTTAAACCATTTATTTTAGAGATAACTGATTTTAGTTTTTGTGTATATTTATAATTTATTTTATGTTCTGGCATTGAATGTTTGCCATATATACAGTACGTTGTGCTCCGCCCTGAGTTCCCCTTGGGGTGAGAAGGATGGAATATAAATACTTTAAATAAATAATAAATAAGATTTTCAATTTAATATGAACCAATTATATTTTCCTGATAACCTAATTCAGATACAGTAATCAAATGTTACAACAGATAACATCTCATCATGTACTGAAATAATTTTATCACCTTCTGATCTCAAAACTCTCATCAATATTTACACTTTGCAAACTTCATCACAACTTGGCATTCAAATAAATTATTTGCAATATCTAATAACAAAAACAATGGTCATCTCTTTTGCAGTCATTAAATGTCCACTCAGTTCAATATATATCTTATAACCCATCCTACTTTTGCAAGAAAGAATTCTTAGTATGAACAATTTCTGAAATGAGCTAGGTCTTCTGAGGTTTAAATGTTAGTTCAGATTTACTACATCTAATATAAATGGCATACCTACACAGACAGAAATAAAGGTTGTGGTTAAATGAACTAGCTGAAATCAGTCCCAGTTAGAATACACTGACCCAATTTACCTAAGCGTTAATTTACCAAATTTCCACTGATTAATTTGGACTATTCTACTTGCAGCCATTTCTCCATAGAGTTTGTCATGTTACTCATGGCAAACCAGTTCCACTCCCCTACTCACCATGATTTAAATTTAGGAAACCAGTTTAATTATATCATTGGAATTTAAAAGAAAGAATTACTCACTGTTATTGGAATGAAGCTCCTGTGCATTTCTGCATGAGTCATTATTCTGGGATTGCCAATTGACTGGAAGGATCATGCCTTAATCATGGCAAACTTAAATTGCATTGTTTTAAAGGGGCTCCTCTAATCTTGACTAACACTGGGTCCAAGTCACTATCTTCAAAATCTAATCTATCATTAGAGAATAGCACACTGCCGATCCTTAGGGCTTCACGCTCTTTTTGTTTTACTGCTAAAACCATACTCCTTCACTGCATAGAACAAGTACAATTGATACCAAATGAATGTTAGTTCCCATTGTGTTGTTAATCTTAAAATACAACTATGAAAATATCTTGATATATATATTCCCCTTCCACTGTATTAACTAAGTTATGTAATTTATAACTCATAACATGCATTCCAAATTGATGCAATCAATTTTCTAGACCAATATTTTTATTTAGCTGCAGAAAAATGGGTTTGGTCAAAAGTACAGTAATTTATGTGATAAGTTTAAATGCATTAAACCAAGTCTTTTAATTAGAATTATATATTTTTAAAGTATTTTCTGACAATACTCCAGCAAGACATTTGGCTCTGTTCTTTAGTTCTCAAAACATTGATAGAATTAGCCCAAATTAGAATTTAACATGAAAAACAAATGAAGCTGATAAAAGGTCAGTCTAAAAACACCCGAGAAATTATGTTTTGTTAGATTAAAGTCACTCTGTTTAAGTTTTGGGCCCTTAATTAAACTATTCAGAATGTTCTTCTTATGAGTCTTCAACTATGAAATCAAATCCAAACACATCTAGATGCAAAAAGACTGGCGAACAATTGAATGTAATACTATTAATTGTGGAAATACTTAAGTATTCAGTAGAAACCTATTCTCCCTTTTTTTAAAAAGGTTGGTCTGGATAAACTCTTCAACAAAGAAGCATGCCATGGGTTTCTATCACATCATTCCCCCATCTCCACTCAAATCACAGATATGATGTTCCTCTTTGAATGCATCAAACTGAGTATTTGAGACACACTGGCAGTCTGATCTACAAGAAATATCAACATTTCATTATGTTAAGAGTATAATAATATTTTTATTTTGTCATCTTCCCAATAACTTTTCTTGTGCTAAAATATTAAATCCTGTAATTACTTTGATTTGATCAAATGCTAGAATGCATGTTATCAGCAATAACTCTGCTGTGAATGGACAATATAACATGTTTCTCACTGTCAGTACTTCAGACATCTGACTTCACTCACTTTGCACTATTTACCATCATTACCTCCAACAGCAAAATAAATAAATATGAGCATATGTACCTATATCTCAGAATAACATTTCATGTATTTGTCTTCAAAGACATATTTCAGAATATTTATTAACTGGTCATGTAGTTTCACTATTACTTCTTATATGCAGCGGAAGTAAACTGTAGCATGCTTGTCAACGTTTGTTATCATCAATCTACTTTGAAGTACACAATAGTGCATGGAAATCTGTATGTATACAATAAATATTCAACTGGTCTTTTTGCATACAACAATTAAGACACAGTCTGAAGACTGATACACTCTCCTACCACCATTATCTTATACATTTGAAAAGTCCTAAGAGTCTCTTCCATAACAATATACAAAATATTCATAAACTCTTAAAGATAACTACCAAAATAAGAAACTTGCCTCCAAAGATTCTGTGCCAAGCTTGTCACATGGTACCATTTATCTAGCAGCTTAAAAAGCAAAAATGCCCTGAAGTCATCAAATACTAAAACAGTCAAAGCAGTCGGCCACATCTCAACAGCAGCTCTGATACTTTAAAGAAAAAAATCAATAAGAGCAATAATCTGTCCCAATTCTACCTGTCATTGATTTGAGAGATGCTATACAACTGTTTACTACTGTTTTGTCTGTAAAGAACTCTATGGTACTTGATGATCATGTTTGGCTCAAATTTCTATTTATCCATGAAATTCACTGACTCTCTGGGTCAGTCACCTTTCCATGAAGTTTAGGTTTTCTTTTACCAGAAGAAAAAATATAAGTACACATCAATGCTCACACAGCTCACTACTTTCCAAACTACATTAGAATATAACATTGCACATGTGAGTATCAACTTATATCAAAACAGAGTACCAACTTCCAATATGGAATTTCCACCTCTCTGTGAAGAGAGAAGAAATCTCTTTACAAGCATGAAGACTGCATGGGCGGATTAATCACATGCTGTATTTTCTCTTCTACAGAACCAGGATTGTAAGTTAGGGTTGCTATTCTTTTTCTTGGCAGAGACACTGACTATAAGAAAAGAACTGTTACAATACTCCACATGAAAGAAAACCAGTGAAGGAACTATGATTACTTCCTTTACAGTCATTCGACATCTCTTCTCCCAATGCGAAAGTGAAAACATGGTTCGAATAACAGTATCAGCATTTTTTAAAAAGATCTAATCTCTTCTACTGCTACTTTAATACTTAGGTTTTTGTATGTACACAATCCCTGCCTGTAAATATGATGCCTTGATATATGTATGATTTCTTATCAGTCAGTTAAGTCCATGGAGCCCTCGGTGGTACAACGGCTTAAACCCTTGTTCTGGCAGGATTGAAGACCGACAGGTTGGAGGTTTGAATTTGGGGAGAGAGTGGAAGAGCTCCCTCTGTCAGGTCCAGCTCCCCATGCGGTGACATGAGAGACGTCTCCCACAAGAATGGTAAAACATCAAAACATCCGGGTGTCCCTTGGGCAACATCCTTGCAGCCGGCCAATTCTCTCACACCAGAAGCGACTTGCAGTTTCTCAAGTCACTCCTCACACTCTCACACACAAAAAGCTTATCCCATTTCATGATACTATATTGGAATCACACAAAAGTTTTGTCTGCTCTGTTTGCCTGCTTTTACTTCTGAGGGGATGGGGCGGGGGGGAAGCACAACTAAAGCTACTTTCTGGAAAGGCCTAAGATAAGGAAACAACCTAAAATCTTGCTCATCTAAAGAAATCTGCTTGGCTGTACTTCTGGATACTGATTTGAACCTGGATGTCCAGGTTTCAGCAGTGGCCAGGAGCACATTTATTTATTTATGACATTTATATGCCGCCCTTCTCACCCCAAAGGAGACACAGAGTGGCTTACAAGTTATTTGTACAAGTTATTAGATTGGTAGTATATAAAAATAAGCGCAAGGTGAAGGCACCCTCCCACTTCCAAAGTAGCCCAGGCCCATAGAGCAATCTTCCTAAGTCATTTTACATTTGCAGGCAAAACTAATGTGTCAGCCACAGGTGATCATTGAGACATTAGATCTGGCCATGATAACACATGCTTAGATTACACAGTGACTGGATATTCTAACTTGTTCTACATTGGGCTTCCACTAGAAACAAATAGGAAACCTTAGTGAACCTAAAATGCTGTGTCCTTGCTGTTGACTGGGGCTAGTTATAGGCTTGTTGAGACAGCTTCATTGGTTACCAGTTACCACAGTTTCCAAGCAGAACTCGAAGTGTTTGGATTCTACCTTGGATTCACACTATCTGAAAGACTGTCCATGTTCAAGTTTTAAGACCACTGATGGGAATCCATTATCTCAGCCCTATCAAAGACATGTTTGGTGAGGATTTGGGAGAGGGCCTTTTCAGTGGCTGCATTAAGATTGTAGAATTGCCTCCCAGGTAATGCTGTTGGCCCCCTTTCCTTTCATCAATAGGCTAAGACCTCTTTATTCAGGCAGCCCTTTGGCTGAAAATGTACATGATAGAAAAGTTTTGTGGTGTTTTTAAATTCTTTTAACATTTGTATTAATGTTTCAATTGCATTTTTAATACTGTGGGCTACCGTGTGAAAAGTGGGTTATAAATTGAATATGGAAATCATACCTGGGGAAGTGCGGTGTTCAGCTGTCGCTGTAGAGAATCCCTTTCATGGCCAACTTCATGTAGTTTCCCCTGTGTTAATGCTAGTGTCTCTTGAGTCTCTCGCAGTGTGTCCAGGAGGCGGTCTCGTTCCTCCAACATTGACACCATTAGTTGCTCAAAATGGGAATCAGCATCTGATTGTAAAGGCGAACCAGAACCATGGCTTCCACTTCCTCCTGAAGGAATCTCTGCCTCACTGATAGTAGGCATCACCTCGCACATCATCTTGAAATAAGGTTGAAAATTCGGTTAGATTATTGAAATGGAAAATTCGGATTCAATTAACAGAAATACTCAACTACATACAATAAATCCCACAAATCATTGTACTGCTTATTTAAGTATGCCACTATCATAGTGAAGGCCCATCAGTGTTTCTATAACTAAATTATGTCACTGCTGAAACCTAGATGTAAAACAAAAAGAAAAAATGTCTTTATAGCATTTACGGCCAACACAACTTTGCTTTCTTGCAAACACTAACTGGTATCACAAAAGACCTGTGTGTAACACATAAAAACTGATTGTCTCTAGTGTCCCAAACGCAAGCTCGTTTTAACGTGGGATTACTGTTTGACCCAGAAAGTCTACGAACAAAAATGTCAATTACATGGGTTTTCTGAAAACATAGAACTGGAAAAAGTTCCACATAACATTATCTGACTTAGTATGTTTGATTTAAATATCATATTCAAAACATTCAAACCTTTATGTTAAAATTATTTGTTGGGTTATTTCCAATGCTCATCCTCTAATATGATATATGCCATTGTCTGTCAACAATGCCCTTCAGCACTCTACACAGGACAAACATTTGAAAGAATGCCTTTTTAAATCCTCATATTTAAAGAGAATTGTAATTTATAATACAACGCCTTATGTCTATCTTACACCAACAGTTTATTTTGCTGACATTACCTGTATTATCTTCAATTCTACACTCTCCCCTCTGTACTGATCAATTCCATTTGAAGTTTTTAAAAATCTGATTCAGTTCCATTAGCGGAACATGATACTTCACTGATCTATGTGACTCTGCAGCTTATTACATTTGTCTTGACTATCTGTACTTGTGATTTTGAAGCAAGATTTTTCTTGAAATAGAAACAAACTTAGCAATGCATTTATTTGCTATTCAATTTTTGTAAAATGTTCTGCTCGACTGAGGTGATAGACTAGATGATTTTTTCTGTGCTTTCGTGTGTGTGTGTGTGTGTGTGTGACAGAGAACAGAAATGCTAACCAAAAACATATATATCTGTATTGTAAGTACTTAGAGAAAGTGTGGTGTAGTGATTTTAGTGTTGAAATATGATACTGAGAGGCCAGGGTTTGAAAGTCACTAGGTGACCTTGGGCAAACCACTCTTTTAGTCTTAGAGGAAAGTAATGGTACCCCCCTTAGAACCAATTTTGGTACAAGAAATCGGAGTTGCTGTACACTGAAACAACAGTGACAAAAACAATCTGTTAAAACGGAGTCTAATCTAATAGTTACAAACCTCTAACTCTGTGGTTCTCAACCTGTGGGTTCCCAGATGTTTTGGCCTTCAACTCCCAGAAATCATTGCCAGTTTACCAGCTGTTAGGATCTCTGGGAGTTGTAGGCCAAAACACCTGGGGACCCACAAGTTGAGAACCAATGCTCTAACTGCTCAGGAAAATTGATGAATATAATCTAGTTAATTCAGAGTATATATATCTTCATGTATAAGTATGCTAAACTAAGAAGCATGGTAAAAGCAAGTACATACGTAATTCATATAATTTATTATAACTCAAACAATGATCTAACTGTTGCTATGCCACTAGTCAGCACCTTCAAACTCTTAGAAATGCAGTTCTACATCACAAAAGATAGCCAGGTTTTATAACCAGATTCTGTTTACTGCAGCCTGAAGCATTTCTTACCATTGACTATGCTGGCTAGGGCAGATCAGGGCTGCTTCCATCCCTGGGTAGGTATAGGTAGGTTAACTGATACATTTCAGATACTTTGGCAAGTCTGATCTGACCACAGTGGTCCATGCTCTGGTTACATCCCAAATAGATTACTGCAACGTGCTCTACGTGGGGCTGACTTTGAAGACGGTTCGGAAACTTCAGCTAGTCCAACGGGCAGCAGCCAGATTACTAACTGGGGCAACATACAGGGAGCATACCACCCTCCTGCTATGCCAGGTCCACTGGCTGCCGGTCCATCTCCAAGCCCAATTCAAAGTGCTGGTTTTGACCTATAAAGCTCTATATGGTTCTGGCCCAGCTTATTTGTCTGAACGCATCCACCCCTATGTCCCACCTTGATCATCCAGGGAGGCCCTGCTCTCGCTCCCGTCAACAGCACAAATGTGTCTGGTGGGGACGAGAGACAGGGCCTTCTCGGCTGTGCCCCCCTGCCTATGGAACATACTCCCAAATGAGGTAAGATCTGCTCCCTCCCTCCTGGCTTTTAGAAAAAAATAAAAATCATGGTTCTGGGACCAGACTTTCGGACAGTAGATGTATGTAGCATTTTGGAGAGGCATTGACTGGAACGGCGATTTGACTGACGAGACTGTTTTATGGTTTTAATGCTTGTTGATGTACTGTTTTAATTATGACTTATGTTTAATTGTGGTTTTACTATTGTAATTATTTGTATTGGCACTATATCGGTGCCCAATGTAAGACATTGAATTTTTCCATTATTTATGTGTAAACCACTTTGAGTCCCCCCTAGGGGTCAGAAAGGCGGTATATAAATACTGTAAATAAATACTTAGGCTATTTTACCCATTATCCCTGACCAATCCTCAGGCTGGAAGAGATTGATGGATGTTATTATTTTAGGCTGCCTAGCCTTTGTCTCCATTCAATAATCTAAATATATTACAGATGTTTGTCTTTATAAAAACCTTTTTTGTAAGAATTTGGACAACTTCCAGAGTCCTCTAGACAGTATGCATATTGACAACGCTGGCAGAGGGTTCCTCACACTGCAGTTTCAAAAAAGTATATTTTCCATGTTTTGCTTTTCTTTGATTTGCAGCTGTATACAGTTATCAATTAGAAAATGGAAACTGCAGGAAATTTATAAAACACATACAGATGTAGTAAAACTAAGTATGCAGCTGTGTTTCACTTCAAAACAGATTTGTATAATTTACGATATATAAACCTTGTTAGTTTTATAGTAAATCTAACTATGTGGAAATGTTCAGTCTTAGGTACTATATAAAGTATCCAAATTGGCAAAATAGATTGATTTTAGGGTGAATATTCTATATTCATCAATTGTACCTGGATTTGTAAAACTAAGATGATGGTATTCTAACCCCATGAATCTGACTGGTTGGTGATTTCTGGCTTGTAAACATATAAAGTGGCTTGTACACAAATAAAGCATTGAGAAAAAAAAAATCTAAGGAATAAGGTAGGAGTCAAGAATAAACCTTAAAAAGGGAAAAGACACCAGAGTGTCAACTGAAAGCAATGAACCTGTGGCAATAGCACATGGTGGACCAACAGGAATAAGTTTAATACTATATACACAAGCATTTAATAACTCAGATAGAAAGGGCACAGTCATCTAAAGGAGCATCTACACCAGGGGTCCTTGAACTTTTTAAACAGAGGGACAGGTCACAGTCCTTCAAACTGTTGGAGGGCCGGATTATAATTTGAAAAAAAAAATGAACGAATTCCTATGCACACTGCACATATATTATTTGTAGTGCAAAAAAACCCTTAAAAACAATACAATAATTAAAATGAAGAACAATTTTAACAAATATAAACTTATTAGTATTTCAATGGGAGGTGTGAGCCCGCTTTTGGCTGAAGAGATAGGATTGTTGTTGTTGTTGGGTGCGTTGAAGTGGTTTCAGACTTTGGTTGACCCTGAGCGAGGGCCAGGTAAATGACTTTGGAGGGCCGTATCCGGCCCCTGGGTCTTAGTTTGAGGACCCCTGATCTACACTATAGAACTAGTGCAATTTTGGCACCATGTTAGGTGCTATAGCTCTATATTGTGGAATCATGGGGCATGTAGTTTTAGAGGTCTTCAGTCTTCTCTACCAATCAGTGCTGGTGTCTCAACAAACTACAAATCCCAGAATCCCATACCTTTGAGCCTTGGCAGTTAACATGGTGTCAAACTACACCCTAAGTGTTCCTGAATATCAACTTAGTTAACTACAGGAAAGCTTGCAATAAATGGAAAAAGGATGAGGAAGGTTTAATATAATAGTTTACAAGGCGTTATAGTCGCATGTAATTATTCATATAATTTTGATAATATCTAAATATAAACATTATTCCTAAATAGCTAAATTATTTTCAGTTTTGAGAATAAAAATCTCTATGATGTTTTGTTACATGCTATTGAAAGAAGAAGGCATGAGAAGGCATGCTGAGAAAGTACACTGGCAGAAAGTTAGTAGTCCTTAATAATGTAGTGTTCTGAAGAACATGGGAGAATGGGGCTGGGATTAATGAATAATATACACTAGATCAGTAGTACATATCTATACCTTCAAGTAGGTTCCAACCTAAGATGAGCCTAAGGTAAACTTATCATGTGGCTTCCTGAGGTTGAATCAACCAATGAATTTCCATGGCCAAGCAGGGTTTCAAACCCTGATCTCCAGCATCATAGTCCAACACTCAAACCACTACAATTTTTGGCCTCGAGGACATGGCATCAGAGGAAGAATAATAGAAGTGGAGAATTGAAAGTTATTTAAAAAGTAGTGCAGATCAAAAAGTAATGTGGTTGTATCAGTACTCCCTTTAAACTGTTCCAGGAAAGTATCAGAGGAACTGAACAAGGCCCTTGCAGACAAATAGTTGATTTTTAAAATTACAGTGACTGAAGAGGTCTCTAAACTTGAATGTAAATGTATATGTATCTGTACATTTCAGTACAACACTAGAATTCTTTTAACAACCAGAACAAATCTCTGTTTCCAAACATAGGGAGTGTTTTAATTAAAGCAAACCACGTTCAATTAAAGCCAACTATTCCAATAAAGTTCTTTATCCTTCTTTAGATGATCACCATGAAACATAAGCTAGCAATTTTGCCAAGGGACCTTCCATGAGATAAATTCCACTCCCCATATGTTTATGATTCTATAGTAATGAAAATGAACTTTATAGTTAACTCTTAACAACCAGCAACAAGTAAACAAGAGTTTAAGCCACCCAGAGTCCTCTGGGGGAGATGGGGTGGGATATAAATAAAGTTGTATTATTATATCATTATTACACAATACATGGAGAGTGGAATGTATTTCAATTTATTGTTCTGGGCCCTTCCACACAGCCATATAACCCAGACTATCAAGGCAGAACATCCCACAATATCTGTTTTGAACTGGGGGCCTTTCCACACAGCCATATAACCCAGAATAGGAAGGCAGAATAACCCACAGTATCGGCTTTGAACTGTGTTATCTGAGTCCACAGCCATATATCCCAGTTCAAAGCTGATAATGTGGAATTTCATTCAGCTGTGTGGGAAGGGGGGCGTGTGGGTTATTTGAGGGCCCTTCCACACAGCGCTATATCCCAGAATACCAAGGCACAAAATCCCACATTATATGTGTGTGGACTCAGATATCCGAGTTCAAAGCAATTTTCTGCCTTGATATTCTGGGATATAGGGCTGTGTGGAAGGGCCCTGATTCCACACTGCTATATATCTCAGTTCAAAGCAGATAATGTAGGATTTCATTCAGCTGTGTGGAAGGGGGGGGTGTGTGTGTGGGTTATCTGAGGGCCCTTCCACACAGCACTATACCCCAGAATTTCAAGGCAGAAAATCCCTCATTACATGTGTGTACTCAGATAACCCAGTTCAAAGCAGATATTCTGGGATATAGGGTTGTGTGGAAGGGCCCTGAGTCCACACTGCCTTATATCCCAGTTCAAAGCAGATAATGTGGGATTTTATTCAGCTGTGCGGAAGGGGCCTCTGTGGCAATCTCTCAATAACTGCTACAGACGTCCACTGCTTTCCTTTACCTTGCTTGAGGAAAAGAAATGGTTTTAGGAGGCCAAGGTATTTTTTCCAGCAATATCAGCTCTCTTTAGGAACTTTGCATAACGATTTCTAAGTATATTTCCAAGGGTGGAGCAGCCACCCAACCAGGCTATACAACATCCACAAAGCTTCACATAAGGCAATAAATAATCCTGCTGAGGGGTAAAAAAAAAAATACTTCAACAGGAGCAGCAAATAGTCCAGTTCGCAAATGGAGCCGATGAGCGCAGACTTCAGCTCGATTCCTATTTCATCCTGATCCACAGGTCTTTTAAAGAAACATACTCTTTTAAAAACACAACAACAAAGAAGCGAAGAAAGCCAGTGCGTTGTTGTTTTTTCAGTGCTTCTGGGCCAACGATGGAGAACAAACAATACACGTTACAGAGACTCCTCGCTTGAGGTCATGAGGGCAGGACTATAAAAACACAAGAGGTACAAATGAGCAGAGGCGATGAACCAAGCGGGAAGGCACTCCTCCTGTGGGGCCCTTGCTAGGCAGCTGAGGGTCCTTTCCTCCTTTCGCGTTCCCGGCTCCTCTCGGCCGCCTTTAGAGCGGTTCCTCTTTCTCCGGCTGAAGCGAGGGCATGAGGGGGGCCAGGGAGTCCGAAGGGGAAGAGGCACGGGGGCTTCTCCTCCTCCTCTCTCCCGCTCTCTCCTCCTTCCCCGGCCCTCTTCCCTGCCCGAGGAGTGAGTGGGTGAGGGTCCGGGGCGGGCTCCTGAGGAGACGAGGCCCAGGCCGGCGCTCCGCCCCCTCCACGTCCGAGCAGCCAGGTCTCCCGCCCGAAGGAAGGGGCTGCTCCGTCCCGCGGCGGTGGCGGCGGCTTGGGCCCGGGAGAGGCCGCTCTGGGAGTCCGCCCTTGGAGCCGGAAGGGTCCCGCCGTCTCTGCCTCCAGCCGGGCCCGCCGCCGCCTCCTCCTCCTCCTCCTCCTCCTTCTTCTTCGCCTTCGCCGCCTCCTTCGCTGTTCCTGCTCTTCCCGGCAGCCTTTGCGGCTCCTGTACACAGCCGCGCGTGGCCCACAATGCACCGCGGGAGGCGCTCCGCTCTTTCTCTCCATCCCAACTTGGCTCTCTCGCGCCTCCTCTGGCCAGGAAGCGGGATTGCACAAGGGAAGCTTTTCTTGCTGCTGGGTTGTTATAGATTTTTTCGGGCTATTTATTATTATTATTATTATTATTATTATTATTATTATTATTATTATTATTATTATTATTATTATTATTATTATTATTTTATTTGTACCCCGCTAGCATCTCCCGAAGGACTCGATGCGGCTTACACAGGCCAAGGCCTCAAAACACAGTACAACAATACAATACCTAAAGCAAATTAAAAACAGTTAAGCAGAATAAACAACAAAGAGTAAACAATACATCAAGACACTATAAAACTGGGCCGGGCCAGAGTAATGGGTACAAGATTAAAAGTGCTGATGTGGCAGGAGGTATGTAGGATTATAAGTAAGTGCAGAGTGCGGTGTGTAGTAATCTTAGTTCTACTAAAGTGCTTCTGGAACTTGGTATTGGAGGTTCCTAATCTGAGAAGGCACATCGGAACAGCCAGGTCTTCAAGTTCTTTCTGAAGACTGCCAGTGTAGGGGCCTATCTGAGATCTCTTGGGATGGTGTTCCAGAGTCGGGGGGCCACCACAGAAAAGGCCCTGTCTCAAGTCCCCACCAAGCGCGCTTGCGACGCAGGCGGGATCACAAGCAGGGCCTCTCCAGATGACCAAAGTGAACATGTGGGTTCGTAGACGGAGATGCGGTCACGCAGTTAGGGTGGTCCCAAACCGTTCAGGGCTTTGTAGGTAAGCACCTGCACCTTAAATTGGGCTCGGAAGATAAACGGCAGCCAGTGGAGCTCCTTGAACAGGAGGGTTGACCTCTCTCTGTAATGGTACACGGTTAACATCCCGGCCGCTGCCCGTTGGACCAGTTGGAACTTCCGAGCCGTTTTCAAGGGCAGCCCTACGTAGAGCGCATTGCAGTAATCCAATCTAGAGGTGACCAAGGCATGGACCACCCCAGCCAGATTAGCCTGGGGTACGGTCGCAGGTACGGTCGCAGCTGGCGCACAAGTCTTAATTGTGCAAAAGCCCTCCCATGGCCATGGTCTAGAGGCATTCTCTCCTGACATTTCGCCTGCATCTATGGCAAGCATCCTCAGAGGTAGTGAGGTCTGTTGGAACTAGGAAAAAGGGTTTATATATCTGGGGAATGACCAGGGTGGGACAAAGGACTCTTGTCTGCTGGAGCTAGGTGTGAATGTTTCAACTGACCACCTTGATTAGCATATAATGGCCTGACAGTGCCTGGAGCAAACTTTTGTTGAGAGGTGATTAGATGTCCTTGTTTGTTTCCTCTCTGTTGTTGTGCTGTTGTAATTTTAGAGTTTTTTTAATACTGGTAGCCAGATTTTGTTCATTTTCATGGTTTCCTCCTTTCTGTTGAAATTGTCCACATGCTTATGTATTTCAATGGTTTCTCTGTGTAGCCTGACATGGTGGTTGTGAGAGTGATCCAGCATTTCTGTGTTCTCAAATAATATGCTGTGTCCAGACTGGTTCATCAGGTGCTCTGCTATGGCTGACTTCTCTGGTTGAAGTAGTCTGCAGTGCCTTTCATGTTCCTTGATTCGTGTTTGGGCAATGCTGCGTTTGGTGGTCCCTATGTAGACTTGTCCACAGCTGCATGGTACACGGTAGACTCCTGCAGAAGTGAGAGGATCCCTCTTGTCCTTTGCTGAACGTAGCATTTGTTGGATATTCTGGATTTTCTTGGTGTGATTTTCTTGCTGCTCCCCTATAGAGAGAGCGCTCATCCAGCTACACTTAAAGCCTCATCACACTGGATAAAAAAATCTACTTATAAAGCCTGACTGCTCATTGGAGGGAAGAATAGTAGAGGCCAAGATGAACTACTTTGGTCACATCATGAGAAGAAAGGAAAGCTTAGAGAAGACAATGATGCTGGGGAAAATGGAAGGAAAAAGGAAGAGGGGCTGACCAAGGGCAAGATGGATGAATGGTATCCTTGAAGTGACTGGATTGACCTTGAAGGAGCTGGGGGAGGTGACGACCGACAGGGAGCTCTGGCGTGGACTGGTCCATAAAGTCACATAGAGTCAGAAACGACAGAACGAATGAACAACAACAAAATCAGTTTCTGCCTCCTGCAGAATTCTGGGATTTGTAGTTTAGTAAGCCTTTAACAGCCTCACTAAACTATAAACCCCAGGATTCTGCAGGAGGCAGAAACCGGATTTAAAGTGGATTCATTCTCTAATGTGATGAAGTGGTTAGTAGGTACTTTGTCGCACTAGAGCAGTGTTTCTCAGCCTTCCAAATGCTGCGACCCTTAATACAGTCCTCCTTGTTGTGCTGACCCCCAACCAGAACATTAATTTTGTTGTTGCTTCATAACTGTAATTTTGCTACTAGGTTGCTGTAAGTTTTTCGGGCTGTATAGCCTTGTTCCAGAAGCATTCTCTCCTGACGTTTCGCCTCACAACCATAGGTGCAAGCGAAACGTCAGGAGAGAATGCTTCTAGAACAAGGCTATACAGCCCGAAAAACTTACAGCAACCCTGTGATTCCGGCCATGAAAGCTTTTGACAACACAGTTTTGCTACTGTTATGAATCGTAATGAAAATATCTGATATGCTGGATATCATATATTAGTAATAATACTAATAATATTACAATATAATGGTATAGTATAATAGAGTAATATATAATTCGGAGAAGAGCAAAACACCTGAAGTTTGCCCATGCCTGTTAGACACCCTTAACCGTTTATCCTTCCAGATTTTTTTGCATACATTTAGCCCTCCATATAAACACTCTTGTCAGCTCATAATTTTGTATTTTTTGTATTTTTTTTAACAAATGTACATTCCTTAATATTTTATAATTCAGGATATACATCCATAGCATTTTATAATTCTGGATTATTTTATTTTGTAACCCCCAAAGCAATATGTGCACCCTTAACAGGATTAAATATTCCAATAACAGAGACGCGTTACAAAAATGCAGGAGAAACTTGGTGAGGTTTGCAACTTTATTATTTAAGATGGGATTGGTAACTGATTAAATCCCTACGGCAACATGTCTTCTTCAGTATAGAATCATTGACTTGGCCTTCAAATAATCACCTTAACTGCTGTTAGCTGTCAAAGGGTGTATACATTTTGGGGGGATGCCTTGAATTTCCTTCTGAGGGACTGCAAATAGGATTGAGAAGAAATCCCCTTTCCTCCCCTTGGGTCACAGCTAAAAGTAATCCTATCTTCTACTCTAACCTGGGAGCTATTGAAAACACCCGCTTCTGATTTAACAACATACAGTTAAAACATGAATCCCTCATGTAAAGACTAGCACATTTTATTTGACAGATGTCTGTCTTCTCTGACAGGAGTAGATTTTTCAAGGTGCCAGGAGATTTCCTTGTTTTCGCTGCAAGATGCTAAAGATTGAATTTAGGAAAAATGCCTTTGGCTGCAAGTCACGTCACGTGTATGGTGTCCCACGACTGAGCAGGTTTGCAGAGCCTTGGGCTGTAAGATCCATCCTCTCTTTCCATTCGTTGGTGAGCATAAGGTGAATAGGTACAACTTTGCCCTGCCAATTATGTTATTCCACCAGTGTGATGTTAAGACAAGCCGCAGAAAGGGGGGCGGGTAGAAGAGGAGCAGGCATCTGGCCTGAGAAGAGCAAAGAAACCACGCTCCATAGCCTAGCCGGGGTTTCTGAGAGCTTAACTGGAGGGGATTAACATTTTTGAGAAGCGGAGGGAGGGAATTTCAGCTGCTTGTGAGGTACTCAGTGAACAGTGTTCAGGTCTTCAAGTCCCTTCCCCCTTGTTTACTTGAGAGAGAAAAAGCAAATTCTATCATTGCAAATAATGCACCTAAAGATGTAGTGTTTCTATGAATACACAGGTTTAGGATCCATTATCCAAAATGCTTGTTTTGTCTACTCATAATTGAAGTAATAATTTTTAACCCACCTCTCCCCATGGATCGAGGCAGGGAAAAGTGGCATCACTAGGGGGTTGTAGGGGGTACAAAGCACACTGTGTGATACTATCAGAAGGGCTGGCATCAAAATGACTGTCTATAAAATGTTCATGCAAAAATTGATTATAAAATAAAAGAACATAAAATATCAATACATGTTAAAACAGCCCATAGTTTCATAATTTAAAACTTATAACTTAAAATACACACAAGTACTGGAAGCCTAATGCTATGGAAGGGTTTCAAATCTAGGGTAGGTCGTGGAGAATAGAGCAGTTAGTTTTTTAAAAAAAAATTAGTGGATAGTAGTCTTGTGCATTTGTACAGAATCACTATCCGTTTCAGTTTGTTTCATTTGTAAGGCCCTGTTTTCGTTTTCGAGCACCTCTCCTGAAAACGAATGCCTTTCCAAATGAGCTTTTCATTCACTGTCTGCAAAAAATGAATATTTTTGGCCCATTGGTAACCCTAACCCTTTGGGTACCTTGCAGATAATTGATAATGACGATGTTGATAAGGCAATGGAAAATGGAATATGGATAGGCTTCCGATTGTGTTGTGTTCGCTGAATTTGTTTCTAGATAAGGCTAGACAGCTAGTATTATTGTACTCTTATCATTGTACTTTTTATTTTTAAACAAATTTTAAACTAATTTAATGTATTATTCATTGGTAATTGCTGTATGTATTATTTGTTATGTAGTGGCATCAAATTGTGCCGGCTGTTGGGGGTTGA